TCTGTCCCATGCTTCCTCCTAATATACCCTTTCAGGGTAATTTACCATTAAAGACCCTAAGACTTTAGCCAAACCAATACTCATTCCTTTCAGAACGGGGGGCATTTATCCTTGTGGTGTAGAACAAGTTTACTTGTAATATAAATATATAATTAATTAATAAAATTTTGAGGATAATATAATTTTTTATAATTTTATTAATAAAATTTTATAGTTCTTAAAATCTATTAATTAATTATATATTTATACTCTAAGTAAACTTGTTCTATACATAAAAATATATCATATTAATATATGTTGATCAAAATTTTTGAAATTAACAATATTTTTTTTAAAATTTAAAATTATAATACAAACTTATATCAATATGGTATAGTTTTATATATAGAACAAGTTTACTTAGAATATAAAAGATATAATTAATTAGTAAAATTTAGAGGATTATATGATTTTTTATAATTTTATTAATAAAATTATACAAAATGTTATTGATTTTAAATTTTTACTAAGTAAATCTCAAACTACTAATTAAAGTTGTAGAAGAGTGTCTTGCAATCAAAATAGCAGTTAATTCATTAAAATCTGCTTGGTAGATTACAAAATATAAGTATTTTTGACTTAATAGCTATTTATTTCTTTTTTATTTATATTAAGAAGAAATATATAGTCATGAAAATTAAAATACTTATATCTCACAACTTACTAAGCTAATTTTAATGTTAACTGCTATTCTGATTGCAAAACATTTCTCTACAACTTTCTTAGAAGTTGAAAATAGTTTAATTTAGTAAAGAAAAAAAGGTTTTTTTTTAAATATTTTTAAATTTAAAAATTCTAAAAAATTTTACTATATTTTGTCACTAAACTACTACTGAACCTAAACATGTTTATGAACTTTGAACTGAACCTGAAATGAACATGAACCTGACTTAAAAGTTCAATACTAAACCTGAACTGAATATAAACTTGACTTAAAAATTTAATATTAAACATAATTAAACTGAACCTGAACTTGAACTTGACCAAAGTTTAGTTTAGATTCATAGAACACTAGGCTAGGTTAATTTTAATGCTAACTAAATTAAATAGTTAATATAGTTAAATGATTAAATAGTTAAAAAATTTTAAAATCCGATCCCTAACTATAATGTATATTAACTTTATATTTATTAATTGATTAGTTAATACTCTTCAAATTAGTTTATTGTCTTATTTTAGTAGAATTGCAAAGCAAGAGCTATATAAAAAAATTATTGTATGCCTAAGATAATTTGGGGCCTCAAAACAGAAATCAGGGAATTTTGCCAATCACGGGTTTTGAGAAAACTGGCAAAACTATTTTGTTATACAAAATCAAAACAATCTAAAAATAGTTTATTCAATATTAACAAACCTGTTTAAACAAAATTATTAGATTTTAGATCACTATTATACTAGCATCTGTACTAGTAAATTTATTTTTAGATTGTAGCATCAAAAGCTTTTGACTATTGTATCACAAAAATTTATTAAGTGATTAGACTTTCAGTATTAAGTAAAAAAGATTAGGCTTTAAATTTTACACTTAATTAATCAAACAGGTTAATTTTCAAAAAATTGTCAAATTCCTTGGCTTCTACTTTTGACAACCCATTTGTATACTTTTTATTTTTATTTAAAATTAGTCATTAAAAAGAGAGTAAATATACAATAAAAATCTTCAATATTTGGTAACATAATGTAATTATCACATCATACTGCTATATATAATTATTAGTTAATTAAAACTGGGTGGCGAAGCCACCTGCATGTGCAATTGTCTAGTTAACACAATAATAATTTCACTAATATATAATAGTCTTAAACAAGCATAATTTATTGACCTTATTGTCCAGTACTTATATAAAATTCAAAATTTTTTATAACATAAAATCAAATAGTCATGTTTTTGTAGCAAAATTTAGTACAAATAACTTTCATAAAGCTTTCAATAAAATGAAATTATATTTCGGGTAAAAAAATGCTCAAAGTGTTACTGAATTTTCACTTTTTTAGCAACAAATCTATATATTTCCATAAAGGTTTGATTTTGATTACACTGTTTATCGAATTCGTCAATTAATTCATGATAAACACTTTGAGTTATTCCCATATAGTTTGGCATATAAGTAGCAGATACAAAAAATTGCTTAACAGCTTCTAATACCTAAAAATAAATATGATTAAAAAACTCAAGTTCATATCTAAACTATATGTAAGTAAATATTAAAACTTACATATTCACTATATCTTCCTGCCCATCCGCCCATCGATACACATAATTTTTTGTCTTCAATATTAGTTAATTCACTGATTGATTTAAGGCATTTTGATATCTCTAAAAATATCATGGGGTCAAATCCATTTTCCTTTACCTTTGCATGAACTACAAATATAATGTAATTAATTTTTAAAATACATTAATTATAAAATTCATTAGATTTATCAGTGCTGGGCACCTTTATAAATCTAATACCGTAATTTGAATTAGAGTTGAACTTGTAAGTTCCAATTTGAATCTATAATGTTTCGGTTTGCAAGTCTTGTAGAACAAAGTTAGTCTAATTGCCCAACACTAATATTCATGGTTATAAAACTTACAAGCATCCTGAACGGCTTTCATAGAGCTTCCTAAATTTTTAAGATCAAGATTCGGTTCATAAATTTCAATCCACCCATTATATTTTGTTACACGTACTAATTCATGGATTGCATTTATGTATTGTTGTTTAGTAAGCGCCATCCACATTGATGACATATGAACGTAATCAAACGTTTCGTCGGGAAATGGAATTCCTCGCAGTAAGTTATGTTCTAAAAATCCAGTATTTTGAGGACGTTCGTTTACTGATGGAAATCCATTTGATTGAATGTCTATACCGACAAATGTTGAATTTGGAAAATCGTGCCCTAAATCAAGGACCCAACAACCTATTCCACACCTTATAATTAAAATAAATATATTATTAATATACCAATTAAGGATACTCGAAACAATAGCCTAGATTTATAGTGCTACGTACCCAGCGTCGAGAACGTTAGCTTTACCATTTTTCAATATTTCTTCAACTGGTGCACTATAATTGCCCTTCCATGAATATCGGGTTAACACATGAGCAATCTCTATTCGCCGAAATTCCATTTCATCTGATGGCAGGAAGTAATTCGCTTCATGATTATTTAAAAACTTCCTTCCACCAATTATTTTATACTGGTTCAATAATATTGTGGATACTTCATTTATGTCTAATTCATCATAATTTTTATATTGATTAAAAATTCTTTTATGATTTTTTTGTTTTTCTTTATCGGAATTAAACATTTTATTATTATGTGAACATTAAATTTTATTTTTATGTTTGAAAAAACCTTTATCAATTAAATAGATAGCGATAGTAAATATTTAATTTTTAAGCTTTTTAATGAATTGCAGAAAATATTTATACAGCATTCATTTATGTAAAAGAAAATCAGTTACATAATACCGATAATTATTAATTCAATGATCGTCTAATTCTAAGATTTTCTTTTGTTACGTAATGCAGTGAGTCAATAATGCAATATAACATGTAATGCCTGATACCAAAACGAAATGCATTGTTAACTAAATAAACTGGCCTTTAAAATTTTGAAATGATTGGACATTACATTCTTTTTCATGTGCTACGTACATCATTATCGGAATATTGTCTAAATTTGTTCACATTATATATAAAACAGTGTAAAAAAAAATTTTAGCGTCTCCCCATGATCGAGATGACATCATGTGATTTTCTAAAAATAAAAAATAAATAACTATCAAATTTATTAAAGTTGATAATGAAGTTAACTAATATTAGTAATAGTTATAACAATTGTCGACTGTAATGAGATGAACTAATAAGAAATAGTAACTATGTTTTGCGTGTGAATCACAACTCTTTTTGCTAGGTTAAAGAAATTTTTTGCCACAATTTTATACTAGAATATGCTATTCCGTCCTACGATCTTTACTGTTTACTTACAAAATTTTTATATGACAGACTGAAAGATAAATATGGGATCTTTGCTAGGGAAATGACCCTTCGGGATTTTCCGACCGGGCTAATTCGGAAAAGCTTAGACCCTAATGCCGGTTCTTATTCACTTTTCATTTTATTGATTCGATAGTTTATTAAATAAACTGTCGAATCAGTAAAGTAAAAAGATGATTTACATATGAATAAGAACCAGCATTCTGGTCTAAGCCTTTCCGAATTAGCCCGATCGGAAAATCCCGAAGGGTGATTTTCCTAGCAAAGATCCTTTTAATTTTTGAATCAGTTTTGATCTAATACTCATAAAAATAATTTATAATACATG